GGAATGCTCTTTGTATGGACCATCACGCATCGCCAGCAACACCTGGAACTTCAGTAGAAGATACCAGTGCATGCAAATTTAATTTATGCTATTATCAAATTGAACAATATGGATAATACTATCATTAAATATGTTTGCCAAACGTTTCATACAGCCCAGTGTCTTTAAGCCAAAAACCTAGGTTAGGTGAACTTTTCATAGATTCCAAAAGAAAAATTAATTTATATCAGCTGAGGATTTAAATGTTTCTGTTTAAATTAACCTACAACGGAAAAAAAAAATATCATACTTGCCGAGCAGAATATTTTCAGTGCTTTAAACATATCTAGCTAAGATTAATTTTATATTTTAAAGCCAGTCTTAGCAAAAACGTATTGCACCGTTAAGAGTTTTAACCTCACGGCACAAGGTTAACGCTACCTGAAAAACCCCCATAAAGCCTTAGAACTGTTAATTCATATGTAGCTTTTTAACTGCTACTCAGATTTCCCACCAGCATCATCTTTATCTGCTACAAGAATGAACTTTTGTCACTAAAGCATGTATCTTACTGTGACTGACAGAATAAATAAGTGAAAAACTTACAGCTATCTTATTTGAAAAAAACAACCACCAGTTGTTTTTTACCAGGTAAAGAAGAATGAATGCTAATATTTACCTTGCACGCACAGATGTCACAAAACTAAGAGTTTGTCACAAAACTAAGAGTTTCAAAAACTTGTTAAATTTTAGTATCTTCCTGACTTAGCTGATCCTAGATCCAACTTTACCGGGATCAAAGTGGTTTGTATTATGGAATATCTAAATCTCCTAGCCTGTTGGAAATGTAAAACATTACTTCTTTCCTTCATTTTTAGGGGCAGTAACAAGTTTGGGATAGGACATTGTAAGAATTTTCAAATAGGTTAAAACTTTCTCAAGCTCTGCAGAAAGAAAAGAGATTACAGTTCTTGATTTTGCTTTTACTCTGGAGACAAATTTCACTTGTTTGTGACAAGAGTTTGTACATTCAGAATCATATCAGACTGGCTAAGTGTTTCCTATGTGCCTGTAAGTCTTAAATGCCAAAAATCATCTTTCAAGATAGCACTTCCTCAAAATTTTTGCTGTAGTAAGTTCCTCTCAATTTCTCTAAAATTTCTTAATTAAATCTTAAATAGTGAAGATTCACGATTATTCTCCAAGAATAATACTCAGTTGTGCTCTCAATGGTGTTGAGAAAGAAGATACTTATCAAAATGTTCAGACAGCTGTGGATAGACAAATCAATGGGCATAACTTCAATAATTTCACATTCGGGAGCAGAACATCTGTCTTTTCTTCTTCCCTCAGCTCTCATGCAATAGGCATTTTATGTGGGTCTACTTGCAGTTTGTGCATTATTGGAATAGACTTTTTTTCCCCTATCACTAGAATTCAGTTCACTTTCTTAATCTTCTCTCCTTCTCCACCATAGCTGGGACAGAAAGGAGTGAAACATGGCTTTTATTCATGAAATCTCTCTCGTGCATAATGGCCTCAAGTGACATTCTCAGTCTCTGAGGGGGCTTTTTTTTTTTTTTTTGGCCTTAAAGTACACAGGACAATAGCTGCCACTTATGATGGTCAAAGCACAGCCTAACAAATTACTAATATTCCCTTGTAAGGCTGTAAACAATGTATAAACACACCATCAGGCCTTTGCCAATTTTGCTCCAACAGAAGGAAATTCTCAATTTAAACAGCTGATGGACTGCAAACTTTTTAAGAAAAATTCCTTTTATTCTTTGGCTGTAGGAAGAGAGGAAGCATAGCTAAAATTTGGAAGAATTTGGCTCAGCAAAGATTTAAATCAAAAAAGCGGAGCCTGTCAACTCCTCTTTGCAGCTGTCTGGACAACAGGAGGTAGGAAACAGCTAGAGGAAAGAGGAACTACTCCAATGTTTCCTGATACGCTCTCTCCTCTCTCTGTTTTAGCCCAGAAATAATATGATTTAAGTTTCCTTTGTGATTAGACAAGTGGGTACACACTGGGAGATTTCCTATATGATTTAAATTGGTTTTGTGCTTTGCAGAATTGCTCACAGTGCACTGATATATTCAGTTGGAAAGCATAATATTTTGTCTCCTAACTCTTGCTGCGTGGTTCTTGATTATTGAGATATTTGGTGTGTTCTATGACAGGCTTAAGTGTCTCAAGAGAGATACTTCTAAGATCAGGCCTCTGCACTGATTTTACCACAAGTTTCAGATGTACAGCTGCAAGAGCAGAAATTTTCTCTTTGGTTTCTTTTTCCTAGCAGATAATTTAGCACAGATATCTGAAGTCATTATTACATTGAATTTTTATTCTAACGGAATGTTATGTTGAACAGGAACAAGCATATCAACATTCTAAAACTACTGAAATAACCAGGACTACAGTGTCAGCGCCTAGCTGGTACTTACAGGCAATTTTCTGCACCATTTTGGCAGCTATGTACAATTAGTACGAATGCAGGAAAATGAAAAGAAAAGCAAAGATGAAATTTAAGAAAACATAAGGGGGAAAAAAAGGACAGTCATTTACAGAAGTGTTCTCAAAAAGCATAAATAAAATAAACAAAGCAGGATAAAAGGATAAACAGAAAGGGATACTCATTATGCAAATGAACCTTTCAAAAAGGAAGCATGAATGAGAAATATGAAACACGCACTCTCCACCCTTGTTTGCTGCCTTGCAGGCTGATAACACACAAAATTTGCATATCTCCCTTCATGCAGACCAGTAAACCTTGGAAAACAGGATATTGTATTTGGGCAAGGTCTATTGCTGTTACCATTTCCTAGCCCTCCCTTTTCTTAAGTTTAATTGATTCATAAATTAGCATGCTTTGTAAGTGTGGCCCCAGGTCAGCAATTCATGAGCCTGAAGGTACCCCTGTGTGCACAGAGACTTCAGACACAAGAGCTTAAAATAAATACACAGTCTTACAGCACAAATGCAAATATTTAGAACATAAAACTTTACTAATATTACTTTGGCATGAACAAGTACTTCCCCACCACTAGCATAAAAGGTATATTTCTGGCCTCTTCCCAGTGTACCATGGAAAACATTTTCTCCCTCATATTGTCTCAAACGTCTCTGTATTATGTCCTACAGCTGGAAGAGTAAAAGCTAAGTACCACTGCAGATGAATGAGGCCAAGGAAGACGATATGAGAGCTGAGACACAGATATTGAGCAACAAACCCAGGCAATTGCATAATTCCACAGGGCACTAGGTCTCCTGAGTGCTGCTGTAAGCACGATGCTTGCCCGACACATCCTTAGAACAATTTTAACTGTTTTTAAAGTGATGCCAGGCCATGTGCTTGCACAGAGGCAAATTCAGTGTAGAATACAAAATTTTAGTATTTTCTCAAGATCGTATTGATTTACAGCATGTGCCAACATCGGCAGTCAAATTGTCGCCTCACTAACATTGCCAATTGTGATGTTCTGAGATCTTTGTCTGTACACTCGTGACATTTACCAGTTAGGGTATGGGCCCGTAAGACTCAGTGAAATGATACAACTTACTGCTGTGAAACTTAAAAGACCCTTCTTCCCTCTCCCATCTCTCTTCCTGGCTATAGGCTTCACTGCTTGTTCTGGCATTGGTGCTTGTTGGAGCCTTTGTGAGCTGCTTGAAAACTCACAAAAATCTGATTTAGAGCTGAAGTAGCTCACTAGAGGATCTGATAAATGCCATGGCCAGAGCAGACTGGCAGTGTATGTCCCAGAAGCAAGTTAGAGAGAATCGCTCCCTTCAGCAACAGCGAACTAGTAGAACGCAGCAGCTGCCAGTAAAATTGCAGCTTGAGGCCAGTGTTTTTCACTCTCTGTTTGCTATTTTAATAATCATTCAGAGTATTTGCATTTAAATATGTCCTTATTTTCCTGCAAGCCTCTGCAGTGATGTCATAGTTTCATACTTATGATATTGTAATTACATTTCTATAGAAACAGGCTATAGAGATAGGGCTTCTGACTTTATTTTTGTGTGATCAAGGAGACATCTAGGAGATGCAGAACAGATTCATGGTCAAATCCAATAGATTAAATACCTTAATATCATGGTTTTAAAAAGGCTGAGGAGATAAAGTGTTTGTATAAATACTGTTTACCCTGTTGTGAGCTAAATCCAGAATTGCTTAATATAATCTTTGAAATCACTAGCAATCTGCAGAGCAGATACTCTATAAAAACTAAGTAGGAAATTCAGGATGTGGACCTCCACGAATACTTAACATTATTCCACAAGCAATTACCTCTTTGGTCAAAGCTTCCAATTCTTAGAGAACGGTCTTTGAAATTAATAAGCCTATTTCTGATATATATTTGCTGTATAGAAAAGATACTAAAAGATAAAGGTGGGATGACACCACACTCACGCACACCCATCTCTTCAGTTCAGGCCAGCTGTAATCTAGTGCTAGCACTGCAACTCAGAATTGAGTAATTTGTGCTAATGATTTGTCAAGGATTTGGAAGTGGATCTTTGAGTTAGGGCAAGGAAGGAAATAAAATAATATGTATTTTTAGAATACATCATGTGGATCTTTCAGCTTGAAGTTCATCTTTAGAATTAGACAAATCGGTTAATAAGCAATAAATATATCTCAATCAACTTAATAATGCTGCCATACAACTGCCTTTCTGCCTCTCCACTTACAGACAGGGACACAATTAAAGAGTCTTATCTGCATATTTGAATCTCATCTTTAATTCTGTCTTTGATAGGACATTAGATTGCAACATGTCATACCTCATTAATGCCTGGGGTAATCGTAGGTGCAGCAATAAAAACAACAAAAGGAGCAAACTCTGCAGTTCTCAGGACTTTCAATGCCTAGATGAAAAAAAAAAAATCACATACTTTAGAAGAGTCTCCCAACAATCAACATGAAATAAGTTTAGTCACACAAGCAAAGGATACAAAATTATGATTTAGCAATGACGGTAATTTGTTTATAACTGATCTGGAGTCAAGACCTTAGTAACACAGACACTTAATATTTTGCATTATTTTACATAATGGTGGTCAAACTGTATATTTATTCTTAATTAAAGTGAGTTTTCAAGACAATGAAAACTTTATCATTTTCAGAGGCTCTTCCCCTACAGTTTCAAAGGGTGCAGAATTCTGTTTGCATTTAATCTGAATGATTAATGCCAGGTAAAAAAAAATAAATCAGTCATGCCATAAATAGGGAAAAGAGCCAATTGTATTTTAGAATAAATATTGACTAGAATACCTTTTTTGTCAGTTTTTTCTACCTACCAACACTTTTTAGTTATTATTTTCTGAAACAAATGCAAACGTGATGTGAGAGGTTTTAAGTATTTAAAAAGTAAGCATAGTGAAGTTTTAAAAAAGTGAGCACAGCACTAATGCAGTAAATGCAGCACCAATCCCCTGAACTAAATCTATGCAAAAGAAAAGAGTTGTCATTAATAAGTTGATTTAGCCATAATGTACTGAGTGACACACAGAACTGCCGTGAGTGAAACTTTGGTACAGATCCGAGCTAGACTGAAGTGCAGGACAGCAAATAAACACACCTCAGCTGAACTCAAACGGATGGACAAGATAAAGTAAGACTACTAAAGGTCAGTCTTTTTTTGCTCCTTCCACTTCCTGTCTTCTCGAAAGCTTTTTTTAAAACAAACAAACAAGCAAAAAACCCTAATCCATCCTTTCCCCAAGCTAAAGAGGTTTTTGTCTCTGCTGCTTGAAACCTACCTATATGTATCACCTGTGCCAGCCTCTTCTAAACAAGAGATAACCCCGTATATGAAAGTCAAGAAAACTCACATAACTAAGAGTACCCAAGGGAAAACAGGCAAGCAGTGTTAAGATAACTAAGATTAAGTCCACAAACAGGCTGGCCTTAGTGAGCTAAGATGGATGCATGAGGAAGCTGGTTAAGAAAGAGGCTTGCTAGACACATGCTGGAGGAAGTGTAGCAAAGGCAACCATTACCAAACGTAAATATATTCTAATCAAGATTAAAATGGCTTCTGAGAATTGTAATGCTTCTGAATAATGCAAGTTGAAAAGGTTTATCAAGAGTGTTTCCTTTTAACAGCTGCTGCATCTGAACTAACTATAAATGTTGCTCTCCCTGAAAACTGTTAAATGTGGAATTTTATTTTTCAGAACAGCACCCCACCAGCATACTACGTGAACTGTCCTAAATAGTTTAGTCTGGTATCTTATTTCCGTTATGAAATTCTCAAAAAATTTGAACTTCTTGAATCCATTCATAAAGAAGAAAGAAAGCAGCAAATTTAAATAGATAACACCGGTCACAATTTTAATTTATCTTTCCTCCTATTTCCTTCAATCTGCTAGAATAATATAAACATCAGGTTTGTCCTTACTCATGTTGTTCCACTTAACAAAACATATAAACATGTCCCTATGAATTGAAATTCATGACTACATGGATGTTTCAAAGGAAACATATCAGAATTTTTCACTGAAGATTTTATATACTACTGATCTTCCTTCCTGTCCTCTTTTGAGAAGTATAATATTGCAACACAGAAAGGAGTTTATAAAGTAACAACACTGATCTGGTCATTGTGCAAACAAGGTCAATATCGGTGATTGACCACAAATGTTTCTGACCATGTTCAATAGTGATACGGAGCCAAGAGTCAGTTAGGAACAAGATTACCCTCTAATACAGCACCAAAGAGAAATTTTTGAAAATATTGAAACATTACTCCTGGTAGGCAATGACAATTACTTATTTTGATGCATTTCACTGGACATGAGACTCATTCATTAAAAAGTTACATGGTAAGTAGATTTTCAAGCTACAGTAGTTGCATACCAAGCTAAACTATGAATTTGTTTCTGCTGTATGTTCTTCTAACCAGAGGATTACCAGAATTCTATTTCGCAGATTGATACTTTGATGTTCCAGGGGCTTTTGTTCCACATTACTGTATGCATTACTTATCTAGTGTGCAATCAATAAAAATAAATATATCTCAATAAAATAAGGTTGAAGGATTTGTGCTGAGTCCCATTTTCATACACTTCTAATTAGTTACCTGAGGTTCTACATCAAGTATTGCAATTAGTCCCTGCTCATGGATCTTTCGTATTGTTTCCAGTTTTGTCCCATACATTGCATCCTCATGGCTGCCATATTCCAAATATTCATTGTTTGATATATCCTGCATCATTTGGTCATGTGATACAAAGTAGTAATTTTTCCCATTTTCTTCATCTTTCTTTGGAGGTCGAGTTGTGTCTGAAAATACAAATTTTTTTTTAATACAAAAGGAATATTAAGATTATATATGGCTTTTTGTTTGGTTTATCAATACTTATTCACTGAATGATGACCTGTCAAATCACATATAGAACAATGAAGCATGAGCTTGGGGTAGGCAGAATGACAGGCTGGGAAAAGAAAGAGTCTGGGGGATGTGTGTTGGGAAAAGCAGGAGATGAAAGGATGTGGAAAAGGTAAAAATCAAAAGGTAACAGAGGAAGAACAGAAGGTCACAAATAACCTTTATCTGGTCAAGACTATAAGACACTATCAGCTGCTTTCAATAACAAAGGCCAGATCTCACAGTTTTTATAGTTTCTAAACAATTCAATTAACATGCCCATTTTACCCTGGGAGCCAGTACTGGGCACAGTCCTGTTCAACATCTTTATTAATGATCTGGATGACAGGACAGAATGTACTCTCAGCAAGGATGCCAATGACACCAAACTGGGAGGAGTGGCTAATACACTGGAGAATTGTGCTGCCATCCAGAGGGACCTTGATGGGCTGGAGAAACAGGTTGACAGGAACCTCATCAAGTTAAATGAGGGGAAGTGTCAAGTCCTACACCAGGGCAGGAACAACGCCATGCACCAGTACATGATGGGGGCTGACCAGTTGGAAAGTAGCTCTTCAGAAAAGGCCCTGTAGGGAGCCCTGGTAAACACTCAGTTGGAATATGAGTCAGCAATGTGCCCTTGTGGCAAAGAAGGTATCCTGGGCTGCATTAGACAACTATTGGCAGCAGGTGGAGGAAGTCAATTCTTCCCCTTTACTCCGCACTGGTGAGGCCACACCTGGAGTGCTGCTGTGTCCAGTTCTGGGCTTCCCAGTACACAAGAGACACGGACATACTGGAGAAAGTCCAGTGAAGAGGCACTAAGGGACTGGGGCATCTGTTCTATGAGGAAAGGCTGAGAGACTGGGACTGTTCAGCCTGGAGAAGAGAAGGCTCAGGGGCGACCTCATCAATGAGTACAAATAACTAAAGTGAAGGTGTAAAGAAGATGAAGCCAGTCTCTTTTCAGTGGTGCTCAATGACAGGACTAGAGGTAATAGGCACACTGAAACACGGGAGCTTCCGTTTGAATGTAAGGAAACACTTTTTCACTGTGAGGGTGACTGAGCACCGGCACAGGTTGCCCAGAGAGGTGGTGGAGTCTCCATCCTTGGAGATATTCAAAAGCCATGTGGACATGGTCCTGGGCAACTGGCTGTTCCAGTCTTACCTGAACCGCAAAGGTAAAATTAGCACAGAAAAATGAAAAATGTAAAATGTTTCAACCCCCGTTCTAAATTAACAAACATTTGGAATAGAGAGAAATACGCTTAACAAGAAGTTTTGTGACTACTAGGAAGCATTCGATGTAAAAGTGGTGTTGCTTACTACCCCTCCCTCCGAAAAAGCAAAAGGAGAAATATACCCAGTTCTATCACAGTTCCTACCTTTAAGACAGGATTCATCTCAGCAGAACTGAACACATGGAGTACTACAATGGGTACGTTGGCAAGGATACTACGAACAATTTTGCACTACATTGAACACTGCTACTTACGAGGAATGGGGTAAGCAAATCTGTCCGGGTGTTTTGTGATGAGTGTGTTTTTTATGTGTCTTCTTCCAACACCATGTGCACCTAATCCACAACACAAAAATGAATTACAAATTGTCCACCAGAAGGGGTTTAAAACTATGCATTATTTTCAGAATAATAACTCAAAATTACCTAGTAAGACTAGTGTTTTCCTTTTGAATGCTGGCAGTTTTACTACTTCTTCGTATGTGACGAGATCTAATTGATCAAACACTAAAACACAAAAGAAACCCCCACAGGGATAAGAAAAAAAGGCATATTAAGAGTGACAATTAATTGTGCTATAAATTATAATTTTAGCAAGTTTTAGATTTACAATACAAAGTATTAAGTTACAGAAAACAAAATAATTTCATTTTAACAAAAGTGTTCTTTTAAAAAACAGTTAAAAAGCAATAACAAAGCTACTGAAATGCTCAGGAAAGTTTGCAAGTCCTTTCATGCAGTATTCAGCAGACCACAAAAATTAGCTAAAATGGCATGCCATTCATGTTTGCATTCCTAACAAATAGCAATTCTAAAGAAAAATCTGTAGACAGTGGCCAACATGAATACAACGTGAGAACATCTATTTACACTAAAGATAGGGACACTTTCATAATCATGTTTTAACAAGATCTATGAGAAACGTATAGAGAAGAGTGTTCTGTGGTATTTATTCTTCAAAACTACCACCATATGAATTGTAATTAGAGTTCTCTTTAAACACACGTGCTAGTTAAATTGACATGCTTTTAAAACTTGTGACAGAATGAAGAATTGTAACGAAAAGTGATGGCATTACATAAATGAACCTCCACCATATTTAGGGGAAAATTGTAAAAGTATTATTTCAGAAATAATTTTAACTGCAGTTAATTAATTGGATTAATTCCATCGTGCCTATCAATCTATTGTCAACTGCCAAAGTATATCATGATGGACAAATCAAGGTTTGTTAATAAAACCAGCTTATTCCTCCTGTGCCAAATAACACAACATCTATGGTAATTCTTGCAGAATTCTAATGAAAAAAGAAGCCAGGAGGCAGTTAATTATATTTACAAAGACTACACAAATCAGCAATTGTGAGCAGAATAACGAACAAGAGTTTTCAGTTCTGTATTTATGCGTGCTATAAAAAGAAGGGAGGAGAGACTGCATCTAAAGTATGGGATCTTTAGTGTTTCCAAGTCCTAAGCTGGTGGATTCACCTCAATAATATCCCATCCATGTTTTAGGATGAGACCAGATATATCCCTTTCCCTCTATCCAAAACCCCTTAGGAAAGTAGGCAGTGGTGGGAGCTTTAGTTTGCTGCTCCAGAAGTCCCGAGCCAGCAAGATCAGTGTTAAGACTGTGGAGCCTACCAGAAAGCATACGCTCTTTGTGCTAAAGTCCCAGTTAAAGGTAGTCCATTTGAAGCATTTTGGATGTCATCCCAAAGAAGAATCTCTTTCAACCTTTCCCCAAATGTTACAAGCAAGAATTTAGTCATATTTTTCTTCCATTCCTCAAACCTACAAACATGGAATTCTTACTACTGTTCTTTTTTTTTTGCAACTTCACACTATTTAAACTAATTAAGAATTCATTTCATATTAGAAAGAGCTGAAGATCTACAACATGTTAAATAGTTTTACCATTCTAACCATCTAGGACTGCAAGTACCTTTTCCCACTAAAAAATAATTAAAAAAATCAATCCTTTATCTTCTTCTTGAACAAAACCACATTATGTTAGACACGAACAGGAACAAACAAGAGAAATGATACATATTAATGCCTTCATCACAAACTAGAAGCATGGAGAAGATGTGTCTCAGTCTACATGGAGGTAACTAATGATTGTAGGGTTTTCAAATGAGAAAGAAAAATGATTAATTTTTTAATATACACAAGATATGAGGAATACAGGGCACATTTAGAGACTGAACTTTAATGTTTCTGTGTTACTAGCTACTAAAGAAAAGGAGTATTTGAAAGGAAATAGTAAGAAGCAAATCAAGAGGCATTGTCACTTGACAGGTTACTTACATGCACAGAGGCCATTGGGAGTAAGACAGCATGAAAAATGTACAGGGGTCATTGAGATATGGCTCATAATATATTAGTAAAATAAAAAGTATATGCACGAAATAAACTTTACCATGCAATAGTCTAAACACAAGGCAAATAAATCACATTAAGAAATGATAAACATATTTTGTAAAAGCTTGGCAATTTTCTACATTATGCATAATACGAAGTCATAGTTCTAGTACGTTCCAAAGAGTGTTCTTTAATGAAGTCCTGCAATAACGTTTCAGTAAAATAAATAAAAAATATATCTAGATATCACTGCAGTATATGTCTAGAGCATTTATAAAAATGTCAGTGAACCTAATAATGAAAAATATTTAATTTTCTCCTTGGGCTTTGGTTTAAAACTGACTTTACAATGATAAGACGTACGATGATGAAATTGTCTCTTGAAGGACACAATACACAGTTTTCTTACAAGAAAAACTGGATGATATTTTTCTTGTAAAGGAGAATATATTTGCTTTCAGTTATGAAAAGTAACTCAAATATTCTCCTCTTTACTTCACAAGCTACGTTTCATTTGCAGAATAATTTCATTTCTAGTTCCAGAAATATCCCAATATATCACACCAAAATCTTAGCTCTCAATTCATTGGCTAGCCACACAAATCTTAGTTGACTATGAAGTATTTCACCAGGTCATTTGACAGTACCCCAGTTCAGTCTCATCCCTAAGACAAAAATAACAAGGAAGTCCAAATAGATTACGTACTGCTAAATGATTTGTTGAATTTTATACTAAGATATAAGAGGAATAAATTCTACTTTCTTGTAAGAGCAACATTTTGACATCTGGATTAGACTTCTCAGTTTCAAATTAATTATACTTATTTTGGATCCAACAGAAGAGAAGAGCTGTTTTTTATTCTGAGACAGATGCACTGAAAGCTTGCAAAAGCCAGTGTTGCCATATTTCTGACTAACAATACCAGACATGAAAGAGTAGTTCAGAGGAGGTAAATTCTGTACCACCTTAGTTAAACTTAACACATTCAAGCGATCACCGTAACATTTCAGTGAATCTCTTTACATGCTACATTTGGCATCATACCCTGAAATACCAGTGGCATCACCTTTAATACCTCAAGGACACTAAGATCAATAAACATTTCTAAGAGAAATCTTGATTCCAGTCTGCACTTTCATTAACTTTTTGACTTCTTAGGGAGAAGGGAAGTGTCAGATGGTATTCTGAAAATAATATTTTCTTTTACGGTCATTTTGATAGTTTTTCATGTCCATGTTTCTAATTTTTGGCAAACACTGTGTTCTGATGTAAAGTGACTAATAGCACTGACAGTGGCAGGCACTAAGGCAAGCACTGTGCAACGCAAAGTGCTGTCAATCTTCTCCAAAACGTCCCCCCTTATCAAGACAGGAAAGTCTAGATTACCTTCCTTTCAGGCATTTAATTGATACAAAGTCTTTGAGCTAGTGTTGCTCCTAAAGTATTGCCTGCTCCTTCTCCTTCCCTGGCCATCCGCTTTCCTTTGCTTATTCTTTTGTAGCATGCCATGCTTAGTCACACGGACATTATTAACTATGTAGTTGCACTGTGAACTGTATCTCCCCCAAAGAAAAAGAATCAGTGCTTTTTGTCGAGTTGTTCTCAGTTAATCCAGTTAGCAGCATGGCCATGCAAAGTTATAGTGCCACAACTGAAGGGAGCAGGCAATGCTGTGGGAACGTATGCTGGGAGCAATTGATAATACTTTAAAACCAGTATTGTCAAAGACTTTAGGTCATAAAATCCAGTTTATTCTCAACAGTTTTTGTTAAGGTTGTAATTAATAAAAGACGGTTTAGTGCTACTGCAATGAAGTGGAAATATTAAAACAACCAGTTGTTTACTACTAAAACTAATCAATTTTGCTCAGGAAGGCGTCTCTTACTCTACACTTTCACTTTCACAATTTTCTAAAACAATTCAATTTTTCAGCAGTCTAAACAGAAAATCAAAACTTAGGATTCAGGCAGAAATCACTGCAAGGAGGATAAACTTCCACAGTTTGTGCTATTTGGTAACTGTAAATAGCACACTGACTACGCAATGGCTCTTATTCCACTTCCAGCTGTAACGCTTCAAGAAAAACGCCCTTTCATGATGTTTTCACATACATAATCCATAACTATAAACACATATTAACAAGGATGCTGCTAAAAAGTCTTCTGTAGAGCACAGTACAGTCATATAGATTGCAAAATTAATATTCTGTTCGTTTCTAGTGCTCCTTTAAACACAAAAACCAAAACAATGTAAGCCTATATTAGGATATATTATGATTCATTTATTTTCTTGCAGCTTGCTTCTCACTAAGCTATATGTTTAAATAGCAAAGAACAAGCAGAGTAATGTTGACATAATTAGAATTTTACTTGTATTTTCCTAAGTAACTCACTATGTTTATGTAACAGTGCCAGCTGAACAATTAATGGCACAGTCTACATTGTAAATAAGTTACCTTGTTAAAGATACTTGCATTTTTTTTTTCATACCTGCATTGTGCTTTGCCAAATATTTGTCTTTGTACTGTTTTTTTTTCTTTCCAAACCAAGTACAGCTGGCCTGTTGTTCCTGTTTGGTCTTCTCCATGGCAATACAAGCAACTCGCCTGGCATAGGGAAGAGAAAAATTTCTTTTTGTTGTTACCAACATATTTTTAAAAAGCCACACAGAATGAATTAGAAAAGTAAGACTTTTTAATAGTACAAGAGTACAGTAAAACTTTTCAAAACCTTTTATTGGACGACTTAAAAGCACTTATATACAGAGGTATTTTGATATAAAGAATATCTTCTTAGTGGTAGATTACTAAAGCTCACAGATCAAGTGAGCATGGGAGGAAGGGTACTAAAATGGCTGTAGACCACTTTGCAGCAGATTAGACTGGAAGAATATGAGGTCTGAAAAGACCACTATGATCTAAATTACTTCAGACCAAGTCGTGTTGTGTTTTGGAATCGCTTTGAGGTCAATCTTTAGGATGAAGTATTGCAAGTGTTCCTGTTGCAATGTGTAACAGCGTCTCCCTTATGGCAGGGCTTGCAAGGGAGCTCTTGAGATGGCATTAAATGTCTTGTCTATCTCTGTTTCTCTTCTAGCAAAATCTCCCGTAGCCAGTCCAGCTGGCACAGATGCTGTTAAAGCCTTTACGGCACTCTTTTACGTAGCAAATCTTGTATGAAATATTTTTGGCTCAATTACTCACATTGATAAACTGTCTTGAGTTATGGCTGTAAGCTTCATGGCCCAGGACGTTCTTGCCAGAGTTTGTGCTTAAACATTTAAAATATTTACTAAATGGCTTGCTGCAAGAGGTTGTTTAAAAGCTCTGCATTGCTTTTGTGGTACTCAGTGCCACATCTGTTCATTGGATCTCTCATTCAGAAGTCTTTACACTCTGATTTCTTTCCACTATTTGACATTCACATGAAAAGTGAACAGGAGAGAAAACCCCAAAACTGTCTCAATAACCCTTGTGCTTGATGTCTTGCTAACACTTTATTCCTGCAGAACTTGTATTTAAGCAGTACTAATGAAAACACTGGTCAGAATCTAAAAGAGAAATTAATTTGACCCTCTTACACAAACAATTTGTATGTAGTCTTCAATCCTAGTTTCCTATAGTATATCGGAAAGCATTAACAATGTTTATTAACACCTGTGTTTATTTTTCTAATGTAGCCACTTATATGATATTGCATGCAACCCTTACTGCTATGCACATATGAGAAAAAAAGTAATCAATTTCACACAAACTGAGGCAATATATAGACTTCTTTTTTAAAAAATAAAAAAATACACGAAAACTAGCAATACAAAAATGAAAAGCATGAAAGACAGAAGTATAAGCAAAGTTAAATTCATTTTTATAGAAAACTTAAGTCATACCATTCCTGAAGTTCAGGAGAAGGAATAAGACCTGCAGTACCATTTTTGGAGTTCTCAAGTTTACCCTGCCACCAGTTGTGATCATCTTTGCTAATTATTTGGATAATATCACCAACTCGGAATCTGATGCCAGCTTCTTTGCAAGGAATGAGGTCATCCTTTGCTGGATCATATTCAAATTGTGCTCTTACATATATCTATAAAAAAGAGTTTATAAAAGACACTGTGATATTATTACTGGTACAGTATTCAGAGTAACAGGTGAAAATTTCATCTGTGCATGTAGCTACACATACTGTTTGCAACAAGCAAAGGAAGAAACAGAATGGCAAAAGCACAAGTGATAGCTGAAAATGAAACAGAAAAATGCCAAACAACCCCAGCAAACAATGGAGACATACGATGTTATTTTGAAAGCTCATGTTTTCTACATACTGTAAAACCTGAACAGCAAAAATGAACACATGGAACAAACTGATAGAGTCCCTCAAATCAATATTAACTATCATGAATCATTACAGACTAAAAGGCAGCAGCTTACAACTTGAACTGTACTGTACCTTCCAAATAAAGTTCCACGATATGTTTTAAAGATTTGTATGACAGGAAATTTTATTGGACAGTATAAAGCACTTAAGCCACATTACTGATCTTCAGTATTTAAACTGAAAATTTGGTACCTTTTTTTTTTTAATAGATTAAATAGGAAGTCCTGTGTTACATCTATTGCATATAGTTACTGGGGAGGAATCTGGGAATACTCTGCATGGATTTTTCAGTATAAGTCTATTCCTGCATAGATGAAAACTAACAATTTGAGTAAGTTATTCTCTAAGCCACCTTAACAGAAAGAATTCAGATTCTGACTTCACAATTTAAAATAGTACACCAATCCTGGCTTTGTGAGTTAATGAGGTCTCAACCTTAGAAAATAAAAGTAAAAGTGATCTCTAATTTTGGCTGCTAATTACAGCCCTGATACATCCAAGGACTTTAAAATTGGAATTAAATGTCATGTCCAAGATGGGTAATTTCTACAGGTTATGAACTTCAAACACCCTATAGCATCTCAGACAGACAGGTATATTCTACTGTTGATTTGACTGGATTTTTTTTTTCTAAATTACATTGCAAAGTAATAGCCTTCCCTTAAACTGTAACAAACACTTTTCAATTTTGCTCAAATTCTGCTTCAAAAATAGCTGTAACTATGCAGTGTTAGCACTATTCATGGCACTTAAAAAGTTCATTTCTATAGTAATCCAATCTGCAACCCAACCTGTGAATAATTTAACTTAAAATGGCTAATCACTACTACCTTGTACCTGATGCATTTTTATCTGTTTATAGTGAGGGCATCAGATGTTAACAACAATATAGAACTCAACTTTTAACATACTAAGTCTAACCCTTGTTCAGCTGTGCATTGAGTGTGTGAGTTCAGACAAGTAATCCAACCTCTTTTAATCACCTGAAAACCAGCATATTTTGAAACCAGCTGTTTATTTAGTAATTGTCTTTCTGTGAAGTAATCAGTACTGAACCAATCCCTTATTTCCCCTCAACGTGATCTAATATAGGTCCAGAAACAGCTGTATTTTTACCATCTAGAAACTTCCTTGTTTTTCAGGTCCCTGCTCCAGTTTGAGCCATTATCCACCATACATTGTCTGTTCATGGAATGTTAAGACTTCCTTACAGATAGCAATATATCTGTTATCCAAGCCCTTACTGTCTTCAAGGATGACAAGCTAACAGAAAAATACCCTGGTTCAATGGGAGAAGTCTTGAAAAAAAACTGGCAACTATAAATGGTGTGAGTATGAGGAACACCATTATTCTGACATTGCCTTGAACAAAGTCTCCTCTCTTGGGAAAAATACCCTATGAGAGCCAAATGAAAACCTAACCCAACAGCTTGGAAGGTCTTTCATGGAGCCTTTCTAGGACTACCTTCAGGCAGCTGCAAACTTCAGAAGACAACAGAAAGTTGCAAGAACCATATAGCTGTAAGCTTTAAAAATGGGAAATGAAGTGAGAGCAATCCATTCTTGTAACGGATATTCCAGCCAACTTAACCAGACAGTAGTATAAAAAGATTTTCAAAGACAACAGATCATGGGGTTCATTGTCTCTTTTGAATGGAATTGCAAGAGTTTTTAATAAAACCCTTGGTAGAGAAAAAAGTTGAGTCCACCATTGAAGATTCAGAGGCAGATTCCGGAAGGGCTATATACAAATGGAGCAGTTACTGAAGATGAATCACCAATCATTTGATGGTATGTGTTGATTTGGAGGCTGCAGTAAAAAATATAAATTCTTAAAATTGCAAAGGGAATCACAGAGAATCCTTTGCAGAGCCCTTGAGGGTTTTCCTGGAATTCTCTGGAGGGGAAGATCTTTCTTTGGTCCATGACGATGTGTACTACCATCAGGCCAAGGTAACAAAGTTAAGCAAGGTTACTGAATCTGGGCCTTAGGACTGATAATTTAAGAGGCTATCTTCAGACTTATCAATCCTTAATAGAAACTGTCTTTAATGTTTTTCTTTGAAAAGCTTTGTTAATGTCAATAATTAGTTATAGATCAAATCAAGCTTTAGAATTTTTGTCAGTAAAATGTTTTAGATTATTAGACACTTGCCCTACTAGTCTTCATTTCAGCTAAAATATAAATTTGAGCTTTCCTCTAAGATGAAAATCTGCACAGATCACAGCACAACAGTAAATCTATTAGTACATTCTGAACTAAAATAACATCTGCAGTTAAATTTACAATGACTTTGTAACTCTCACACATATGGACACATGAAAGAAAAATGCTATTTTAAATTAGTCACAAACAAATGAGTTAAAAAGAAAAATGAAAAAAATGGAACAAATTTTCCAAGCTTATATGTTTTAGTCCAGCACATACACAATATGAGGGGGAAAAAGATAAGCAGGGGTGTTCACTAGCAGCTAAGTTTAAAAAAATTCCCATGGAGGATATCTATTCACCTGTCTTCCTTTTGGTTGTGTTGTCGATGGCAAGTCCTGCAGAATAAAGTCAACCCAGGAGAAGAAATTTTCATTTTACTTTTTAAGGGTATACAACACCATTTGTTAGTGATTCATAGTACATGACAGTAAAACGGTAAGTCAGACAAAAGTATAAAGCATTGACCCATGTTTAGAAGTATTTTTTTTCTTAAAGAAAAATCAAACCCAGGCTGTTTAGCAGCAAGCTGAAGAAAGCAGGTAAAAAGTTTAAGCAGATAGAGAATGTGCTTTTTAATAAATAATTCAGCATCTTCAACACAAAAGCACTGTCAAGTGAAAGAGGCTCTTTATGTGAATGCCTTTTCCACTTAATAGTCTTGTTTTCAAAGAGAAGGATGGCTATTATAAATACTAAAACTTTTATTATTAAAAATATATGATATGATTAATTATGCTGATGGAATAAGATTATAACTAGTAATCCTGTTACAAATTCAATTCAATTCACAAAAATTTCTTAAGTTTTTCATCCACATGATTATTTTTCATTGTATTAATTAATAAGGACTTTACCTTGTGGCAAATAATTTCTAAGTTGTAGGTTTTTTAATAGTTAAAGAAGTAAAGGAGTAGTTACTCAGTTTTTCTTTTTTTTGTTTGTTTGTTTTGTTTGTTTTTTTTAGCTAGTCCCATGAACTCATGATATTGACAGCACTTTTACTGAAGGAACTTGCGTGCACAGTTACTACATTGGTCCAAACAATGACAAATGATGAACAACACAAATTTTAACATTAATATACTTTAGCAAAACAGGAGATCAACAGCACCTTTCTACCTGAATACATAAGAAACAGAAGTACTTTGTGTTAAAGATGTGATGATAATAGCTTGGTTTGTAGTGCAGTTTAAAGCCACTTCCTTTTGCTTTTCATATCCAGGCAAGGCTCATATTTCACAAGGTATGTGCACGTACCACAACAGCAGAGGGCACACCAATTCGTTAACTCAGATAGCGGAAACCAGTACACGTTCCAGAGGTCTCTCAAAACACAAAACTCAAAATAATGTCTTGAAATACCAACTGCACAGTTATTCTTTCTTCAAACACTGCTTCCAACGTTCAGGATGGAAATAAAACGTCCACTTTAAACCTTTGCTTAGTTTTGAGGAAACTGCTAACAATGACTGAAGGATGATTGAAGTGTCACGTTACAGTTATTAACATTTAATTCATTATTCGGCCTTTAATGAAAATATGTTGGAAAAAACCCTTAAAAAAGAAAATGGGGAGTTACATACGTAATAACCTTGGTTCTATAAGCAGGACAAAATTTTCCACTGACCACACGATAAGTATAACGGTAATGGCAGATGAGCACCAACAAAACTTTCACACTTTCTCTGTGTGGAACTGGAAATCTTACCGAAACAGAATTGTTAGTGCTGCTATGACCATTAGCTGGGGACTGTCTGGATGTAGAGGGGGAATCTCTCTGAAATAAGACACAAGGTTCATTAACAACACAACACTATCACAGGAACACAGATATATTTAAAAGAACAGTTACATCCACAGCCTTATAACCATGTGCTTAGCTGCTTCATCTGTGAAAGTTTTCACACTACGAACTCCATAAATCCAAAAAGTTTTTCTATAGTTTAAGATTCAGGTTTGACATTTTGATGTGTCCTAAGTAATAACTATTTTTATATTGCCTTAGCAATCAAACAGCTTTTTAAGTATGGAGTATCTGGGACCTCTTAGATTTCATGTGGCTGACAATGCTAAAGGCCATTAGTCATACTGGTATCTTTGTTAAAGGTAATTACCTGAAAATTATATGCTGAATAATACTTTGAATAGAATGAGGCACATATTCCATTTTAAAGATGCTTCTAAATCTTTTTTTCAGCTATGTGGTGGTGGTCAGTGTTGATTAGTTTCTACTCTACGAGAGCATCTCTATGCAGTGGCTCCAAGACACTGAAGCTAACACATGAGAAGGAAGTTGGATACTCTCTTCTCCCTCCTCATCCATTTTACAGCATACTGAGGTTTTTTTTCCTCCAACATTCATTATTATGGGCTTAAAAACATTGAACTTTCCCAAAATATATCACTTTAAAAAAGCCACCTCTCAACTCAGACTAACAGTGTGGTGCTACGTTTCGGTAAGGAGATACTAGACGCAGGATATATACTGGGAAATTCTACAGAAAGGATAACAGGAATTTCTGCCTAGGTCTTGCACAGGCAAGGAAGTTGAATGTAGAGTATCTTCTTCACATGCCATTTTGATTGTAGAGTACTTAATTCCTTAAGATCAGATAATTAAGCCACGTCTTCAGGAAATAAAATTATTCATTTGTACATAAAAAAAAAAATCTCCTTTACTCCCAAAGGAATTTTGGAATAAAATACTCCATGTTCAAGGTCAATTTAGGAATGTCTGGAGATTCTACATCAAGGATAGCAGAAAAAAGGGCTAAAAGAGTTTTCAAAGAAAACGAAGTTATCCCTGTCACATTTTGTCAGCACAAGTGCCCTTTGTGAACAAATTAAAAACAAGAATTTGGAGCTAAATAAAGCATCCAGAAAAGTTAAAATGACAGATAATGCTTTATCACTCTTGCTGCCTGTATGCTTGATGTGCAACAAACTAATTTTGAACTTCTGAGCACTCTTTGTGGACTCACACAAAGTTCCATATATAGCTTGCTTTTATTTTAAAAACAGTTGAGGACAGATCTGACATTATTATGGCTGTAAAATCGTTGTGGTTCAAAGTATGTAGGTCTGTATATTTCTGCTACATGCATAAGAACAAAATGCTCATTTGGCTCCAACAGTTATTTACAACATGTAATGGACTGGGGGAAGTCAGCTCTAATTCTATTTACAAAATCACTCCAGTATAATGAGTTTAAAATGTCCAAATGACGCCAAATAAGCTATTCATTACTGCCAAAAAAAAAGAAAAAAAAAGCCTAAAGGAACCTTTTTTTTTTTTTTTGCGTATGGGACTATTAGCATCACCTTTATCGAACAGCAGCCAAGAGATATTTCTCTCCAAAAAAGCAATGACTTCCTTCTTTTATATAGAGATTTTCTGCTCGCTCTGCAATTTTGTCACTGCCAATTTCTCACTTTCAAGAAAGAAGTGAGAAATTAATTTTACTTTTGGTTTTTTAACCCTAGTTTGTTATGATCTGCTTAGTCAGTGACAGTTTTGTAAGGGAAAGCTTTGGAAAGTGATGCAAGCATGCAAGCAATTTGGAGAAAACCAAGTTTAGACTAACTTGGAGAATGCCACTACTTCCAGACTCTCTTGAAGTCTCTCCTCTCCCTTTGAAGGAAATTTCCTTGGTTTGAGAATGTTTTGATTTGTATTCCTTTAACAATTCTCAACAGAAGATAGCATACTACTGAAAGCAGATGTTTATTGTAACATACTGAGGAAAACACGCATTTTCAGTGCTATTGGTGATTTCAGTACTAACTGTAAGAAATTAATCTATCAAGTTAGTCGAGGCATATGTACAATTTTTAAATAATTAGACAGTTCAGCTACAATTTCAAAGGCATTTACACAGAATCACAGAATGTTCGGGATTGGAAGGGATCTCAAAGGATCATCTAGTCCAATCCCCCTGCCGGAGCAGGACCACCTAGATCAGATCATAAAAGAACGCGTCCAGGCGGGTTTTGAACATCTCCAGAGAAGGAGACTCCACAGCCTCTCTGGGCAGCCTGTTCCAGTGTTCTGTTACCCTTACTGGGAAGAAGTTCTTCCTCATGTTTAAGCGGAACCTCCTGTGTTCCAGCTTATATCCATTTCCCCTCGTCCTATCATTGGATGCCAGTGAGAAGAGCCTGGCTTCATCCTCATGGCAGTCACCCTTTACATATTTATAAACATTAATGAGGTAAATTTAGATTCTTAATTTCCTAGGGACTTGGTCTTTTTTGCAAAAAATATCAGACTCAAAAGTTAAGAGAAAAATTGTATTATGCACAGTCTAATCAGACAAAATAATGAGTAGAGAGATCCTTGTAGAATGCTAGGACTGCTTAGAACTGGTCTGGAAATCTTTGGTTGCAAGTTTGCTTCTCCAGTAAATCAGAAAAAGCCCTAGTTCTGGGGATAAGAGCAGAAAAACACTTGGCGGATTCAACGATTCTGAATCATGTAGAAGTGCTATCATCGTATTTCAGTATAATTGACTATCTAGACTTCCCAATCTTGTCTAAGCCCTAGCCAAATAACAAAACAGCAGTCTTTTGGATCCTTGCTCTTCTGTTCAAGCACCACAGCTGAAGCCTTAGCGGAAACAATCACAATTATTTCCAGATGATGGCAAAACTAGTTTAGTGTTGATTCCTTGTTCTTAGGTGTGGACTATGAATGATAAATCAATGTCTTTGAGATGCAATCCTACAGCAGAAGTCAATTATGTCTACTAGATGTGGCCTGATCAAATTAGATACTGACAACAGCTAGATTAAAAGAAAAAAGAGAGACTTTCCAAAAACCTGCAAGTACATTTCGATTTTGGTCTTGCTCAAGGAACCTTTCTGGAAGCATTTGTAATACAAATGTAAAAAGGTTTAAGACTACAAAAAGTCTTACAGTCTGAGCACTAACAGAAACATTCCAAGGCTAAAGGAAAAAAACCATGATGATTACCCATTACATTTTAAAAATCTCATATATACTGAGGCTTTTCTTGTCAATGAAACAACTTAAGTGTTTCACTAAGACAATCAGAAACTTAAAAGGTGTTTTATAATAAAAGTTGTTTGTAAAAAAATCCCAAATAAAACAACAATAAAAAACCCCAAAAGGTACTTCCCTTATTGTTCTCACACATCTGACACTAAAAAAAGTTACTCAGGGTGTTCTGTCAGTATGAAGTAAGAATGCAAGCACAGTTAGAGCTTATTCAGTTGGAGAAAGTACTACCTGAAATGTATAAACAGCATACACAGTCACTAGCCGTAAGAAGAACGTGTTGCAATAATTACTTGAGTTCATATTTATGTAAGTAGGCAATTTCCTGGGTATCTGAACCAGTAAACATAACATCCTGGCCACTGTGTTATCTAGATATCTGAGTAAGTCAGGCCATTTGCCACACCAATGAATAAACAGGTCATCTCTCAGTAGATAAGCTGATCAAATTTTTATACAAGGGAATTCATAAGTATTATGTTTTCATGCAAAGTCTACTCCACGAAATAGAAGGCCTGGTAACTGAATGGAAAAGGTGGGTGCACTAAAAGCTAAAAACCCCTAAAACACTTAAAAATAGTTGGGATTTTGGAAACTGCCTAGTGACACTGAACTACCATTACATACTACAGGGACAAGACCTCCCTAAACATGCAAAAGTGGCATAATATTTAGAAAACATCACCATGACACTTAAATTCCCACAAAAGAAGAAAAACATAGCAAGTGAGATGCAAATCTCAGTTCTTTGAAAAAATACATTCGCCTCAAAAACACTCCCCCATACCTTTGTATATAAAGGCATATAGACTGATTGTATGTAACAGGCAGATCACCTCTGATTCTACTAACATTTAGGTTTTCTTAATCAAAATTAACAAGATATTTTGCAATCATATGACGTGACCATGATAGCAGTCTTAAAAAAAACGCCACAATTATTGATTCTGTTTTATATTCCTTTTCTGGTAAAACTACACTATGTGAGAACCAGTCCATGACTGAGAAGGAAACCAAACATACATTTATAGAAATATCTGAAATACTACCAAAAAATACCTTAACTAGTAAGATCATACTGGTGAAGACCAAACATCTCTGTGTTTATCCTGCTAGCACTAGAAGCAAGCTTTCTGTGTCTTAGTAATGCCGTTCAACATTCCTTTTTAGCCTCCATCAATGGTTAATAATTTGATTCATCATCTGAATCATAATCGTGAAAAATTCTGCAAAAGAAATTATTTCTGTACCAAAGGACTAGTGATGCTTTAACAGGATGACTTAAAAATGTTGGCTTTTTGTGTACACTCATAACAGCTGAAAAACTAGCCGAAGTTGTAGATGAGACCAAGCAGGTGGAATAGACTCAGAGGCATCTGAATAAATGAATGCTAAACGTGACAAAGTGTGATAAGGAGACATCCTTATTTTTTTTCCCCTCTGTCTTTGATCATACATTTCTAGTTTTGCTGTTTTTTTCCAAAGGAAGGTAAGAGTCCATTTTCCTCTTGTCTGTGAAATAAATAGTCATGAAGAACCTAAAGACACAAAGCTAAGGAAAAGAGTTGAACTGCTACTACTAAATTGACACTAGTATTAATTTAAAGCTGTATGCTGAACTTTTTTCTCCAAATAACCATCTTTCTAGCAGGCATAGCATTTTAGCAGTTTCTGTATTTTAATATTAGGAAGTGAGATATCTTTTATTATTCCTGCTATTTACAGCACAGAAGTCAATACACAAATTTGTCAGCACACTCTAGAATTTCTATTTTATTTTTTTTAAAGCCTTTGCATTTAATGAAAAACTATTGCTTTTGTATTTATACCTTTTAAGAAAATCAGCCTCATAGGTGAAAATTTGTCAAACCTTCTACCTCTAAAACCTTTTAGCTCTTGTTGCCTTCTATTAAAAGTACAGAAGGCAATCAAACAGCAGTAATTTTTTCTTTCAAACAGATTGTTTTGACAATCACAATAGCAGTTTCTGTGTGTTCTAGCATCTGCTGAGACACAAAACAATTACGGTGAAATTGCAGCTCTAATTAAGATAAGGTGCTTGACTTCAACAGGGATCGTGATTTCACTCTCGGAATTCTAATTTGGGAACTGTTTGTGCAGTTAAGCATGTGGCACAGAAAAACTGGCATCCTCTATATAGCGCATATGCCATCTGTATGCTTAAATTGGAACACTGTCTCCCAAGTAGCCATTTTCTAGAACTTAATTCCCTTCAGTTGCAATCTGGAACATAACTTTGTGAGCAGAAGGGAATTAAACGTTACTGTGCAAAAAAACGTAATTACAAGTTTCTAGTTCAACAAGAACTAACTCCAAATCTGTTTTACTTCTGTAATAACAAATAGAAATTTTTCATGGAAACATAATATTAAGCCACATGTAACTGTTACAGACAACCATAACAAATTTAACTCAACAGGGTTATACAGAAACAGATTCTTCAATTAACCCTTAACAGCCCAAAGCAGTAAATTAATGTTTAATGCCTAAAAACCAGGAGGATTGTTCCTCAGTTTAGGAACTTTAATAGACTTCCTGGAGAATGAGTTTAAATTGTAATTTTTTTAAAAGGGGCTTCCTAAATGTATGAGTTGAGGATCCCCTTCCCTATTTTTTTTTTTTAAATAGGCTGTAAAGAGTTAGTTAAGGTGCTGATGAGATGAATATGAAGGCAGAGCTGAGTAGGTAGGTGGGACCTACTCGTGTTCCGTTATCTTTGTTGTAAAATTGGTGTGCGCGATCTAACAGGACAGGCAGAAACAATTTCCCAGAAAGCAGTAACATTCAGCCATCAGCAGGCAGTTAGTTACAGGACTGAGGAAGAAATAGGATGATTCATTAAATTCATTACCTCACAGGATGAAGATTGCGTACGATAACTTGGCACAATCTTAAAGGTGATACTTCCACGCATTTCCCTCTGCGAAAAGAGAAGCACTTCTTTAAAGATGAAAACACTGAAGATAAAATCTCCAAATCACTAATGCTTGAAAAGAAAGCATCATAGCTTGAGAGCAGCAGCGTGCTTTCCTAAAGTAAATATTCAGAAATGTTAAAATGCTATGGCTAATTTACCATTTCACTTATAAGCAAACATTTAAGTTGACTCTCATTAATCTAAAAGAGAAACATACATTGTTAGTTTGTTCATCTGACCAGTTTTTGAATGTCTAGAACCTACAGCTATATTTTAAGGTAACAGATTCAGGTATGTGTAGGATTCCTCCATGTCAATCTTTTCTTTGTAGCTAAATTCCTGTGATCCACAGAGTCTTTGCTACTAAAGTGACATTTTCTTCCCTGTCATCCTACATGTTAAACAGCAAAAGCATATTCACAGTTTCTGGAAAGCTGCATGTTACTGTAAAAAAGGTAGAAATGTAAGAAACAGTCTTCCATCAGAAGAGAACACAGAGTCTGCTAGTTTGCATTTACTATAGTATAAGAACATTCGTAACAAGTACTAACTGCAGAACAGTAGCAGATTGCAGCAACATATTTGCTCAGCCATATTTTCTTAAATAACAGTTTGAATATAAGTGCCACCACGCGGCTGACAACTGCAGGACTCGATATGGGCAGAAATGTAAGCAGATTGCTTCAAGTGTTCTTAGAGTTTTTTTGGCTGGCTTACTGTGAGTCGAAAAATTGCTATTTGCCTGGAGTCACTTAAGCTTGTCTATACGGTTCTGGACACAACAAAAGCATTAGTGATATCATTCAAGATCCCAAGTTTAGGATTGCATGCAGAAAAACTTGCAAGTGTTATGGAATATCAAACTGAATCTACCAGCAAGACCTCAGATGGAGTTTTCCTGCAAAAAGCCAGACTGTCAGAACTCAAAATATTTTTTTTTTCTTTGTAACAGCAATAACCATGAGCCACCATAGTTATAAATTGAAAGGTAGTTCCAGCTACCTTTAAGGAACACATTTTTCCCTCTGATGATAATAAAGTACTAGAATAGGTTGCTCAAAGAGGCATCTGTCCTCTCAAGTCTCTGTCCTTAAATATTTTTAAGGCTTAACTAGACAAAGTCCTGAGCAACCTGGGCTGAACTCAATGTTGATCCCACTTTGTGCAGGAGATTGGACTGGAAACCTCATGAGGTTACTTCCAACCTGGATGGTTCTGTGATGGTCTTTGTGTAGCAAGTATACCAATAGTCAAGAAAAGTTTCTTTTATCTCAAGAGTATACTCAGTGACTACACTTGGTACAGACTGAGAGATTTAAAATAAGGGCATGATGTTTATACAGTAACTTGAGTAATAGGAGGAAAACAGTATTTTTTCTCTTATGTTTACTAGAGACAAGAGGAGAAACTCCTGCATTTCAACAAAGGGAACTCAAAACATTAGAAAAAACTTTCTAAAATGTAGAAGTTATACACTAAAGTCAACTGCCCAAAGAGTCTGGGGAACGTCCATTACTCAAGTTTTTTTGAGAGCTGGTCAGACATACATATGCCAAGAATGGTTGGGTGTCAATGATCTTTCCCATAGGACTAAACGAAATAAATAAAAATGACACCTGGAGGTGCCTTCTACCATTCCTGGGTATAATGTGCGAAAAAGCCACCACTGAAAAACAGAGGAGAGCCTGTAGAAGGCTTTAACAGCTGAACACAGAAGACTGTTACATGCACATGCAGGCTATCAGGAATAGAAGAAAAAGAGGAAGTCACAATGCAATTACATAAAACTTTTGACAAAATAAGACAGGCACTGTTATAAAGAACATGAGAAAGATTTCAAGCACTTACAAGCATTTTTTGTAGTTGTTCTACAGTTTGATTTGCCACACTGATTCCATTTATTTCTCGAATTTCATCCCCTACATGTAGCGTACCTGCAGAGTTAACAAAACACACAATCACCTCAAACACGTTTTCACAAATTGAGATAACTGTAAGACAGTACTAATATTCATACAAAGGCATAAATATGAAGCAACATTAAAATAAGATTTGTGGCTAGATTCAGAAAAGGACTTTGGTAGCTATGTATTAGCTACCAAAGATTATGAATTTGTCTTTCAGAGTGCAGTTAATACACCAGCATGAGATGCCCCAGCACTCTATAAAGTACTTGGGGAGAACATCAGTCTCTTATAAGGACACTGCGAAAACCCACACATTGAAAAGAAAGTTACCTGCAACTAGTCAGCTGGAAACATTCAACAGAGATATTCAATTAGTATTTTATCAGATGACTATTTAATGCAGTTTGGCTTCTGGACATAGTCTTAATTTTATCTGTCAGACTGTTTTATTTTTTCATTTCTCTGATTTTGATTTGCCATAGTTACAGTATGCCTTTTCTGTATGTAAACTTGACTTCAGCTAGACTGTAATGATTGGTGTGACTACCTACAATGTCAGGTGATGAAACGAATATCTACTTACCCTAGGCAAGTCATTAACTGACCTGCTGAAGCCAGGATGCTAATGGCATGTTAAAACACGGCTCTAAGACACTACAAAAGCTCATTAGGGAGGAAGCAGTGAATGAGTTAATTATCTTCAGGATTAGAAGCAACCCAGGAGGCTCTTCTTGGATGATAATTTCTGACTTCAGTAGCTCAAGCCCATCTAATTCTCCAGCAGTTCTCCAAAAAGCTTCCATGGTTTATCATTAGTCAGATGATGTTTTTCATATACAATGAAATATGACAAGACCATTTACTTCACACACATTTCCTTCTGCTGCACGATTTAAATAATTTGTGCAAGTATCCTTTCCTAAATACTGTGCCTAATAATATAATTAATCTTACTTGGAAAACTAGCAACTGGCAAACATTTCCTAAACTAAAACATATCTATGGAAAATTACCCGAAAAAAGTCAATCAACCAGAATCCTGAAAAAATCCTTACAATTCTTTTACTGAATCAAAATAGACTTTTTTCCAAAGAATACCATGCAAACAAAACTTTCAGCTGGACAAGCATATGAAAACCAAGCTGGGTGCCTGCAAAACAAAAGCACAGTCTGAACCAAACAGAAGAATCCTGAAAAGCTATTGCTATGATCATTGCTATGACTCCCTTTGGGATCTCTTCTGCGGAACGGCTCACTTGGCAGTGCTACAAGAGAGAGGCCAAAGTTTACAAAAACTTTCTGTACTCTTCAGGAGTAAGTCATAGAATCATAGAATGGCATAGGCTGGGAGGGACCTTAGAGATCATCTAATCCAACCTCCCTGTCATGGGCAGGGACGCCTCTCAACTAGATCAGGCTACTCAAGGCTCCGTCCAACCTGGCCTTGAACACCTCCAGAGAGGGGGCATCCACAACTTCTCTGGGCAGTTTATTCCAAAGTCTTACCACCCTCGTACTGAAGAATTTCTTCCTAAGATCTAATCTAAATCTGTTCTCCTTCAACTTAAACCCATTTCCCCTTGTCCTGTCAGTGGACACTCTTGTAAACTGAAGTCCCTCCCCAGCCTTCCTGTAGGTTCCCTTCAGGTATTGGAAGGCAGCTATTAGGTCCCCCCGAAGTCTTCTCTTTTCAAGGCTGAACAATCCCAGCTCCCGCAACCTGTCCTCGTAGCAGAGGTGCTCCAGCCCCTGGATCATCTTTGTGGCCCTCCTCTGAACACGCTCCAACAGATCTATGTCTCTCTTATGGTGGGGACACCAAAACTGGACACAGTATTTGAGGTGGGGTCTCACAAGAGCAGAGTAAAGGGGGAGAATCACCTCTCTTGACCTGCTGACCACGCTTCTCTTGATACATCCCAGGATGCGGTTGGCCGCCTGGGCTGCAGGAGCGCACTGCCGGCTCATGTTGAGCTTCTCAT